TAGCTGTAGATTTCATAGTATAAATGTAGTGAATTATATTAATCCAACCTTTGCATTAAGACTAAGTTATGTAAGGGGGGGGTTGTATTATGCACCCATGCACTACATACATACATAAATATACATATATACACACACACACACACACACACGTACATATATTTGTTATCAATCTATCTAGTATATCATAATACTATAATATAAACTCTCTACTCTCTCATATATATAAAATGTGTGTGCATATGCATAATATACACACACTCACGCATACACACATCCCTATATAACTTGGTCTTAATGCAAAAGTTGGATTCATAAGATATGTATGCATTATATATGTATACATTATAACAGTATAAATGTATATATAGTATATACATATAAATGTATGCACATACAGACATACTATACATATATGATATATATACATAATTATAGTGGTGATTATATATTATATAATGGTTATATTATATATAATTATTATAATGGTTATAAATAAAATAATTGTTTTGAAAGAGAGAAAGAGAGAGAGAAAATAACCATTATATACTCACAACTAAATTTTTTCAGCTGTATTCAGATAAAACCAGTGATATCCTCCAGCTGATTATATTAATCTCAGGTAAAATTCCATATGAATAACCCAAGGATGATATATAACCTAGATTTGCACATCAAGTTAGAAGTCATCAATCTAAATTCTGTGGATACCAGCTACCACACCTGTTCTTCTAGGCAGTACTACTAAATAGAATATAACCACTTAACCAAGGGTAATTTGAAGTGTAGTCCTGAACCATTTCCTTAAGTCAAACAGGGAAAAGGGGGAGGAGGAGGTGGGGGAACAAATAGCAGTATTTTCTTGAAAGAATAATGTGAAAATAGGGCAAAAAATGACATCTGTTGCCATAATGAGTTAAGACTGAGCAAGTCTTTAAGGAGCAAGAATCCTGTCAATTAATTTTCAGCCTACAGTTATATTTCTATAAATGTCTCAAAGTTTCCTTTGAACATTTACAGCTACTTGAGTGGTTTTACATGCATAGTTATGAAGTGGTCTACTCAAGACTAGATTTAAGGGAATGTGCATAAATTCCTCAAATTTCAAAGTAATTTTCATGCTTGCTCAGACTTTGGAAACTGGCTCTAAGAATTCACTGTACTTATTACATGGAGAGTTACTGAATCTAGCTTGAGTCACTCTACTTTTCCTTTGGTTGGAAACCTCTTAGGATAAATTAAAGGATGGGCACCCCTATAGAGTGCCTTCTCACCCTATCTTGGCATCTGTCTCTTCTTGTCTGTTCACTTGCTGTTTCTCTCCAGCTCTTTTTCCACTATTCCCAATGTATTTATGCCTAGTGATTCTCCTCTGTCTCCCACTTCTGATTCCTCCAGTTAAGTAGAATGCCACCTGCTGATGGGTTAGCACTGATGCCACCCACAGCCATCCTAACAGCTGAAAGAGTAAAGAAAAGAAGCTTACCCTAGAAGTCTATAGTGGAAGCCTACAGCCATATGCATTAGACTTGTTCCCAATTACCTGAGGTGCCTCTAAGATGCAGAGAGAGAAGATGAGTGGCTTCAAAGGACAACTTGCAACTCTATTTATGGCATCAGGAGCTTGTCTGCAATGAGGGCCGAGTCCTGTCCCTCCCTGACCTGCCATATTCTTCCACTATGAATCCCTTCAACTACTCTGGCATATGAACACATTTTAGGATTAGAAGTCACTGAGCCAACAATTAGAACCAGGACATTTCCATTTCCAACTTATACTTTCCTATTTCAGGTCTGAGAATTCATAGACATCTGTGTGCGAGACCCAGCCAACTGCTCTGGCAAGAGTGTCATTTTGGAACCAGGTGGAAAGGTTTACTTTCCATAATCTGTTTATGAGACAGCAGAAAGACCATAAAAGGAGTTTGCACATAACATATTTATATATAACATATTATATCATACTGCTTTATAATCAGGCATGGACTCAGGCCATAAAGTTCTGATCCAGTTCCATATTTCAAGCACTCCAGTTTAAGGGATGTTCAAAACACAGGAGAACCAGGGGATGGAATAAAGAGAAAGAAATCTTCCCTTCAACCCATGGTCAGGCCCTTAAGCCCTCAACTACTGCCCCACCTCTAAGCAATACCAGTCTGTGACAACTTAATTCTCCCTGTACAGGAACTCTGTTCCCTGGGTCCATTTAATTGTAGACCTGATGTTCAAATGCTGCCTGTCTCCAAATTCCCTTTTGCATTGGCCTATTTGAAACTGGAGTAGAGCCCAGCTGCACAGCATGCAAGGACTGCGTAGTCATCCTGAGTTTCTGCTCTGCAGCACATCTCACTACCCCCCTCAGCAAAACAGATGCAAGTTTGCTGCGTTGGATGCTTTCTGTGGCCCTTGTAATCGTGGGTAAGTTTCACCCAGCGAGAACATGAATCTCCCACTAGCCTTAATGGCCCCTAAATATAAACTCCAAAGGGAGCATAAGTCTCACCATATTAATAATACATTTCAACAGCATATGCTGTATCCATTAGTTTATCTGAATAACTGCCACTTTGCACAATTTCCTTCAATCCACCTGATTGCTTTCAAATGGATTAATTTTCACATGCAGAATGTTGTTTAAATACATGCCACCGTGAGCTTTGAGACAAATATTTTAGGACATAAAAATGACTTTTCCTTCTATTCTTCTTGTAGAAATGAACCACTTCCACACACATTGCCTAGCTCAGATGTAGCTGAGCTTCAGGTTTGCACAAGAGGTAGTTAAGCTGCTCAGCTAAGAACATCTTAGCATGTAGCTAACTAGTTGCATTAGAGCACCTCCCATGTTTCAGCCCATTAACCTGAGCACAACAGCTTGATGAATTAATGCTTATATAGGCACAGTTGGCAGCTTCTAATTAAATAATTATGGCTAAGCAGCTGCAGAGAAGTTATAATGTCCCACTAGAAAGCCAGCTGTCAATTTTATCGGTCCTCAAAGTTTAAAATAAAATGACTTTTGAAGATTTGATTTGAAGGGCCTTCTTTGACTAACATATTCTGTAAGTATTGCCTCAGTTCCTACATTAGCTCTGCCTGCGATTGGATTACTAACGCACAGCTGTACAATCCTTGCAAGCCAACAATGACAACTGTTACAATAACTCGAGACAGGCTCAAGTCACAAGTCAGACCTGGATCTAGATTGAGCAGGCTGAGTTGGCCTCTTGGTCATTAGTTTAGCTCATTCTAGAGACAAAGCTCATTTAAATAAATTCTGATCCAGATCCAGGCTTGAATTTTAAAGATCCACAGAGCTGAAATGTGCTCAGATAGGGCCAGACCCAAAGCCTGTTGAATGCAATGGGCATCATTCCAGGGACTTCAGTGGGTTGAGCCCAGGCCTGTGTTGCTGAAGCTACACATTCATATTCTCCCTTTTTCTCTTGCATATATTTCTAGGATGCTTCTGACTTTGGCAACTAAGCAGTAGTACTGATAAAAAAAAAAGAAAGTAAAAGCTAACAATCTTGGAAGGGTAAGGATGGGAAGAATACAAGAGAACAGTGATCTGTGTTTGCTAATTAGAACATGATTCAGGGCCTATCTTCAATTATGAAAGAGTCTCTAAATAAAGCACAAGTAAGCTTCCCTATTTTTTCAGAAAATGCTTTAATTTAAGTTCGCTTCAGCCCATTTGTGGAACTACATTAATTTTGCTTCAGTAAGAGATATGAATTAGAAACTTATTATTAAGTTACCAATCTCAGCCTGCCCTCAAGGGGATCCAAGACCTTTGAACTATTTTATAAGAAGCCGAGACAAAACATACTTTTTAATAAATCTATGTATATAAAAAACAGAGGAGTCTTTTACAGAATGCTAACCTAAGCACTGTTACCTTAGCAGATCTGAGGTGTCTGTTGAGAGGCCCTAGCATTGCACTGTAGTGTATTACACTTGTAATAATAAAGTACCCAAGTCCTGCCACATCTTTCAACATAAACTTTAGTAAAATTTTCATGTTATTGGCATTGCTAATAATAGTTACATGTAGCGTGACAGGTAAGTAGGACAAAGTAGCTATTATTCACCTTCCTTTCTCTCTCTGCCCAGCAACTTCAAGATATAGGACAAAGTCCACTTCAATAAATGGAATAGGGAAATATTCTCTCCTTTACCCTTTCAAAATAAAGTAAAATAACCAGGTCAGCTCCTTGAATATTTCAGTCCCAGAGGTTATGGAATGATTTTCTGATACAGGATTATAGAATTAAAATTACTCTGATGTTACCATTGGTAACAGTGTCCCTGCCTGAACATCAACTTAGAAATTTAATGAGCCTGCTAGAGCTATCAGATGAAAATTAGTACAACAGTATGTGATCTGATGTGACTGCAGTTAGCAGGGCAGATGCATCTAGTTACGAGGGGGGCTATTTTTTCATAGGCATGTTGCATAACAAGATGAAACAATCTGCCTCTCTATCCACTGAACCCTCATTTTAAAGTATACGAATTGGGTCTGGGAAAGACCCCTGCTGAAAAGGAGATAGAACAACTGGATTTTGTTTCTTCTTCCCTGCATGTAAGTGTGTCAGTTTTGTTGACAGATGGCTTGGCTGGCTGTGCCTGACTAGTATCAAACAGCTATTACCTTTGTAAATTGAATCTCATTTGAAGATTTTCTGTAATTAAATCTGCAGTGTGTTTGCAAGGCTTCTATTGAATCCAGCAAGTACTCAGAAAATGTGTCAGGCAGTCAGATAAATGGCAGATTTGCAAAGCCAAGCATAGCCGAATCTTTCAGCTGCAGGGGAGAAAAGGGGTGCTTTTGGCAGTCTGTGCTGCCACCTAGCCAAGACGATACCATTGAGTTCAGCATCAGTTTATAGTATAAGAGCTTAACCTAAAACATAGCCACTGGGATCCCGTTTTATCAAAAGACAACTTCCGTCAGCAACAGATACAGTAAAATCAAGTCTGCCAGTGCTTTGAAACTAAGAAAAATTTGAAAAAAAGACCGACTTTAAGCAGATGATTAATTTTTGCACTGCAAATAGCTTGTACTTACGGTAGAAGACGTATTCAGTATAGCTGGACCAGACCTTGTCATCTGTGTATTGGTTGACAAAAGAAGCCGTTACTGAGGAATTACAGGCCACCATGTGGAATCCGCATTCTGACAGCATGTCAAAAGCCCTCTCTAGGTGCTTGAACTTGAGATAGAACCTGGAGGTGTATCTTTCCGGAGCCCTATCGGGGTCTCTGCTCTCATTCAAACTTTCTCCAAAGACCTCTTTGACTAGAGCAATCCTTCCACAAACCAAAATCCTTGGAACTCTCCTGAATTTGGCATCAGCTTGGCTCTCTCTGCCGATGGTGCATGACCCCCTGTACCCAATGGTAATGAATCCCCACTTTCGGTCAGAAGGTAAGAGCGATGATGGGGGGCATATTCTTGTGTCACTGCTTTGGGAAACCTCCTCGTAATCACTGTGGCAATAGTCATCAGGGCTTTGCTTGATATCATCAGGAGTAAGGAGTTTGACCAAGTCTGGAAGCTGGAAGTATTCAGCTTCCCTCTTGAGCCTTCCCTTCTCTGGGAAGTGGTCAGGCAGGACCACTTGCTTGTCCCTGAGATAGTCCAGAATGTAGCGGAAAAGAAAGCCATCCCTATCAATGAAGAACCTTCCCTTGGAGTCCTTGGCTAGATCATTGGCTGTGTCTCTCTTCGGGGTGAACATTTTCCACAGCAAGGAGTGGGGGATGCCTATCAGGGTGGAATGGCGAGTGAAGTAAACTTGGCCACCCACATTTAGCTCCACCACCTCAGGGAAGGAGTGAAGACCAGCCCCTTGTTCTCTAGCAGGGAGGTAAGTCCTGCAGTTTCCACTCAGAGCCATTGTATTTTCAAACAAAAATCAACCACAAAGAAAGGCAGGGCTATAAATCACATCAAAGTATAAAATAAGGCTCCTACCATGTAACAGGAAAAGGAAAACACCAAGGGGTTTATTTAAAAAAAAAAAAGTCAGATTTGTCCATAAGTGACTGTGTCACAGAAGCTGGAAAAGTGGCTTAAACAGTGGATGGAGAGCAATCGCCTTGTGAAATGCAATCACATCATCAGATCTTCCAACAAAGCCCCAAAAATCAAGGTCATGCCAAGCCTACGATTATTCACAGGTCTGTTAAAGAGGGAAAACAAAACAAAACAATTATTTCTCTGAATATCATAAAAGTTAAAACAAGGTAAAGCAGGTTAGTCTATAAAGCTAAGAGAAACCTCTTTGCTAATTTTCTTTTTGCTTTTGGTTTTTTTTTCCTCCCCCAAGCAATAATTAGTGTGGGGAAAATATACATGACAGCATTGTATTAAGAAGAAATTACATATTTCAGCTTTAAACAAGCCGGGCACTTAGAGCCTTTGCAGATGGGAAAATGAGAACATCAAGTCTTACCTTGGTTACAGTTAATGCATAGTTCTTGTCAAGAAAAGCAAATTGTCAAAGCAATCAGAACACACGGACAGGCACACTGAGTCCAATTAATAGCAAATCCAACCCCAGAAAGGTACACAAAAGGTAAGAAAAGTGCTCTTAGCAATATCCATGTAGATCTCAAGAGTTAAACCAAGTCACAGGAAAGTTAACCATGGCAGGTGATGATGAGAAACCAGTATGTATAGCAATATCTGAGATGGAAAAAAAAACCAAAATAAATCCCAATCAGTATCCTTAAGAGTGGGGGGAAGAGAGAGAGAGTTTCAGAAGGGACCTTGGCTCAGATGACTTGCAGAAACCCCAGAATTTGAGAAAAGAACTGACACGTTTCAGTGGGATCCCACAGTGGTATCCAGCCTGCCAGTAAGGGCACAGAAGCTCCCATGTTCCCAGCAAGGTTGAAGAAAGACAGCAAGCAGCAGTTTGAAAGGATGCCCAAGGTAGCTGCTTGGTCTGCTCTTGCTGCCCGAGCTGCTGCTCTGGCTGCTGAGCTGGGTGGTTCCACAGTTCCCAGTGCAGTTCAGATGCTGTTGTTTCAGCAGTGCAGGGAAGAAACCATCCAGGGAAATGACTATTACATCATCTTAAAGGAATATGGCTTTGAGAAAACAGAGGAATCGAGAGGAGGACTTTCTGATTCATTTCTCTTTCTTATGTTTTAACAAGTTACAGAAAGAGAAGCACTGCACAATCTTGCCACATACAGCTATTCCCAAAGCAGGCAGAAGCTCCTCCAGGGAGGTGGTACTATTACCTTCTCTTTAATCCTTTTGATGGAAAGTAAAAGATTCCAGCAGCTTTTCCTTTTGCAAAGCTGTTTTTAAGTTAAAATAAAGTTATTTAGTGTTTTAAGAGCAGAATTTTTTTCACCCTTTAGCATTAGATACGTTTCTCCTGCAGAACAAAAATGCATCCCTCTGGCACAAAACAAAACGCGATGACTTTTTAAAGGTTCCAACAGACATATGGAGCAAAATGATCAGAGGAATAAAGATTCAGAATGAGCCTCTCTCTATTTTTCAAGATGAGATTTTTATTTGATCACAGAGCTGTTGTCCATAATCTGAGATGGAATAAACAGAATATGCAGGAGGGGCAGGGGCAGATTTAAAATATCCAAGCAAGTACAGTTTTGCCAGGGAACTGTATTTTCCTAAACTAACTCCTAGGACAGTTTGTAAAACAGGAGTTAAAAATAATGCTAGGGACATTATCAAAGGGCTTACCTAGATTAGTAATATGAGAAATATTTGCAAACATGTTAGCTAATAATGTCAATTAGCATTATTTTACTGGTGTACCCAGTTTCATGAACTATTAAAGTTCTGAGAAATCTTTCAGCTCTAAATAAAATGAACATCATTCAGTTGAAAACACAGTATAATGCTTTTCTCATTTGCAGTGAGGTAAATCAACAGAATATCTACTGAAGTTACTCACTCCGCTAACTTCCAGAGAAGTGACATGTGATTTAGAAGAGTGTAAGACAGATCAGAATCAGTCACAGCATATTTGAACATGGTCAAAATTATTTTCCAATTAATATATCAAATTCATATCGCTCAGGCATTCTGCAGTAATTCATCACAGATTTCTGTTTTCTATTTCACATATTTAACCTTCTTAATCTTAAAATTGTTATAAAAGGCAAGCGTTCCATACATAAAGCCGGGTTTAAGCACTATCCTCTTAATAACGTCCAGGTTGTTTTGCATAGTCAATACATTAATAAACATCATTGCTTACTTTATGTTTAACTCCACGCTCCCTTTCACCAAGTTCTTAACATGTTCTGGTCTCATATAACTATTTTCTATTGCAGCCCTTATCTACAGTACATGTTATTTTGCACACTTACAGTGACACCTAATGGCTTAGGAATATAACAACATGCTGGCTGCAATTCTAAATCTTTAGTTAGCTTTCACGTTTTAGCCAGGAAGCGTTGTCATGTGAACTGTTCTTGCATTTGTTTTATTCCAGTTCAGCAAAGTACATGCTAAACTTCATTTCTAGTCTGGAAAGCATATGCTTAAAATTAAAACAATGGGATTTATATATGTGCTTGGAATTAAAGTAGACGCTTAAATACTTTGCTGAATCAAGGCCATAGCGAACAAAGCAGACTGAGACTGGTTGCAACGCAGGTCGAATATTCATTGAAAAAAAAAATGGTCCTGTACCACTATACATCATTCTTTAGCCCAAAGCATACGTTGTTCAAACTCCTCATGTAACTGCAAGTGTGATTAAAAAAAAGCCTTCTATTCAAAAGCTCTCTCAAAAACTGAAGGCACAGATTTAAGCACAACTTGTATCTATAAATTTTATGACAAGGTTTTTTCATAGGATTCCAAAAAAGAAAGGATGGAAAGGACCTCCAGTCACCATCTAGTCTAACCCCTTTCTTGGGGCCATATTTGTCTAAACTGAGGGTGCTCAGCCCTTGGCGTGCAAGCCAGATACAGCCCCTAGAGCCATGTCATTCCAGACAACTTAAATACTTCCAGTGTGGGAGCTTCCACAGCCTCTAGGTAATCGGTGCTAGTGAGTGACCATCTCGTTATAGTTAGAAAGTTCTTTCTAATTTTTAACCCAAATCTCCCTCATTTCAATTTACTTCTTAACCTGTTCCATGTGGACACAGAGAGAATTGATCAACTTCCATTTTTAGGAACCCTTTTGCATCAGAAGACTGCTATCAAATCTCCTGTAAAGGGTCCCTTTCCCCATTACTAATGTGCTGAGACAACACAAAGTTGTGGCGCTTTAGGATTACTGTCATGCCTGTGTCTCTCTCTGTCAATTCCAGGGCTAGCATTAAGAGGGTGTTACAGCTCATTCACCAGATGGCTTGTCTACACCGCAATGTAGACAGCGAATCTCAGCAGAGGTGTAAAAAGAGGTTCCAAGAGCAGGGCAGGGTAGGTGCAGGAGTCTTGCCCATGACAAGAACTCCAAAACAGCCCCAGCTGCTGCTGCCACCATGACATCCTCTGCCTGCCCCAGCTCCTGTTCTTAAAGCAGCAGCAGCAGCAGCAGGGTGTCTGTGCACCGGCTGCTGCTACAAAAGCAATGCCACGGGACTGCTATTGCAGCCAGGGCATGGATTCCATGGGGTTGGGGGATGACTCCAGCACATCTCTTATGTTGGTTCCCAGGGCAAGTGCCCCTCTTGCCCACCTGTAGTTACACCACTGTGTCCCAGCCAGGATGGAGTAGAGCACACCCGACCCAAGCCACAATCCCCTGGCATAGTCCAAACCTAGTTTTCTGGCAAGCATACTCAAGAGCATCCATTTGCAAACACTCTCGAGCACTTGATCTTAGGTGTGCTTGAGAGACGAGTGAGACTGAGCCCAGAGCAGCCTTATCAGCATACTTCCAGATTTGGAGCATGACTGAGACAACAGGCCATCCTGACCAGAATATGCTGCTGCTACAGTGTAAGCAAGCCCAAAAGGGACCAGGGCTCCAGAGCCAAGGATTGTGCTGGACAGCTCCCAGGAGAAGGTCAGAGATGCTGAAGCAGAAGCAAGTGGTAAAGACGAGAGCTTGGGGCAGTGAAGACTGAGGGCCCTGAAGAAAGCAGTGGGATCAGGCATAAGATGAAAGAGCGCACAGTCCATGGGACCAGCCGGTCCCATAAGATTAAAGAGCACTGGACTTCTCTGACAGAGTGCAGCAGAGAAGGCCAGAGCACAAAGTCAATAAAGTTATGAAGGACATTTTGAGTGTAGAACATGTGGGGGAATACTGCTACACTATAGCTAGGGCAAGAGAAAAGCTAGCTGTTGCAATGCAGGCTGGAGAAGAAACCTGCCTACATCCCTACTCAGATTTCTCCAGAATAAATAGTCACTATCCTTCTAACCTGTCCTCATATGACATGTTTTCTAGACCTCTAAGTATTTCTGTCACTGATCTCTAGAATATCTCCAAAATGTATACATCTCTCCAAGTTCATTACCCAAAATGAAAAGGTACTCAACATGAGGTGTCACCAGTGCTGACTAGAATAAAAGAATCACTTCCTGTGGCTTGTATACAACACCCCTGGTAATACATCACCATATGCTATTATCTTTTTTGCAAAAATATTCTGTTATTGACTCAGACTGAGCTTATGATCCACTATAACATCTAGGTCCTTCTGCAGTACTGCAACCTACTCTGTCATTCTACTTTCAGGTTTGTGCATATGATTGGTTTTTCCTAAGTATAGTACTTTGCACTTTTCCTTATTGAATTTCATCCTATTTAATTCAAACCATATTTCCAATTTATCAAGGTCATTTTCACTTTATATCCATTCTCTGGTGTCTGTTCTGCCACCCAGCTTGGTGTCATCTGCAAATTTACTAAAGGTATGCTCACGTCCATTCTCCAAGTCATCAATT